AAAAATCGTTTATTTATTAAAAGAGCTATCTGGTCACCTCATACACTGCAGTACCAATGTAGAAAGAAATCGATCGATTTATGTCCGCCAGATGCAGGGGTTCTAGTACAAACTAAAGCAGCAAAAATGTACATAGATATGTCAAAAAAACTGGCAATATAATATTTTTAATACGTAGTAAATATAAATAACCAAGTTTAACGACTTCAAATAAAGCGTAATTTTTTACAAAATTCTAAAAACTCGTATTTTTATTTAATGAATGAAAAATAACAACGAAACCCTCAGCCGATCGCCACTTCCTCATTTATTTACTACCAATAGCTTAGCAAGCACACAAACCCAAGTCGGTAATGCGGCACAAGTTTGCGCAGACTCTGAGCACTGCACTCCACCGCCAAATTTTGTGCACATCAATCGGCAAGGCAGTGCGCGCCACACGATTCCAGCCAGCGAAAGTGGTGCGTCAACCAAAATTTTTTGGTATTTTAAATACAAGAATTTCAATAAAAAAAAGTATCACAACCTTTAGTGCAAGCCACGCTCCAGCTGGGAAAAATATCAAATACTGCACTTCATGACTTTTTAAAAAAAATGTTTTTAATAGATAGTATTTTCTACAAAAACTTGATGGATTTTTATGAATAACTGCAAATGCAAAAACCGTGTGCGACTAAAACAAAAATTAGAAAAATTCAGCAAAGTATGTGTTAAATATGAATTATAGCCCGCCCGCGAAAATTCAGCAGGAGCAAAAACCCAAAAGTCGGCAATGCAGCACAAGTTTGCGCAAACTCTGAGCACTGCACTCGACAGTCGATTTTTGTTTGCAGTACGTTCGGTATGGCAGTGCGGGGCAGGCGATGCCAAACTGGGTCAGTGGTGCTCTAACACGATAGGAATATACGCATAAACTGCTCAAAATAAAATCTACTTTTTAGGCACACTCAATAAAAAATATCACAATCTCTAGTGCAAGCTAAACGCTACCTAGGAAAAATACGAAATCCATCTCTTTACGCATATTTATGTTTATTTTGCTTGCCTATAGAATATGTTCACCAAGATTTTTTCACTTTTTGGTGACAAGAGGTGTATTTAAAAATTTTTAAGTAAAATGACATTTTCTACAAAAGTTTTATGAATTTTCATAAATACGGTTTTTTTATTCACTGTGTAGAATTAAAATATAAATTCGATAAAATTGCAAATTTCGAATTAAAAAAATGTTTTCAATTTTAAATGTGAATGAAATGGATTTTTATAAGTGGCCAAAAAAGCAGTGTTTATATAGAAAATGTTTGCTTGTTTTGTATAAATGAAGCGGAGGAACGCAAAATTAAAAAAAAAAACAAATATGTGCAAAAATACGATTTTTTTTTTAATGTCTGGACTCCCAGCAGCAACACCTTCCCCTTCGTACTTGAGCAATACTTTTTCACAATTTTCTTGCAGATTTGTTTTTGTATATTAAATATTTTCAGTCTTTGTATTTGGACACGTGCTTGGGAGTCATTTAAAAATGAATGGTTTTGCCAAATAAAAAATAAAAAAACTGTGTTTTTTAGTAAGTAAAGCATTTTGTTTTCTATTTCTTTTTTTAATTGAAATCATTAAGAATAATTTTATTAAATTAAAATAGTTAAAAAAAATTTTTCCAAAATGAAAAAATTAAATTAAAAACATTAATTTGAAAAGAAAAAAATATTAAATACCTAAATAAATAAAACACAATAGTTTAATTGAAAAATTCGAAATAATATTTATGTATATTGTTTTAGCAAGTAAAGCATTTTAAATTTTACAAAAACGAAAATTCGAGTACAGCTTAACTCATAATGGTAAACTTTCAAAACAGATTTTTTATAGCTTAAAACTAATAAATCTTAAAAACAATAGTGTACTCAACGTACAGTATATAAATTATAAATTTGAAAAACACACTTTAGTACCTAAGCATTTGAAATGTTTAATTTTTTTTTTATAAAAAAATCAAAATTTCTAAATTGATAATTTTTTAAAGCTAACTAAAGTGCATTTCTAGTGGGGAGAAAGAAAGTGTGGTGGGGATTTTGTATGATACAAATCGCAGTGTTAAAAGTTGTGTTGTGTAATTGTATACATTGAGTGCGTAAATTATATTAAAAAGTGGAAGTTTTATTAAATTTGTTTTTCGTTCATAAATATTTTTCACTACGCAAAATCGAACACTTGACAAGGAAGTGGACAGTTTCGCAAATTTGTATTACTTTTTTGAAGGAAGAGCTTGAATTAGTTGGGTAATTTGTGCGTAATCAAGTTTTTTAAGACTCCAAAAAAAATTTTTGGTAACTAAAAAAAATTAAATAACTATAATTTGAGAATACATATACATACATATATGTAAATAGCATTAAATGTGTATGTCGCTTTTTTGTCTCTAAAAACTATGCGATAACTCAAAGGTTTTAAAGTAAAGAGTAAATAGTAAAAATTGGAAGAACGTTTTAAGCTATGAATAAAAATGTTAATTACGCTTTAGGAATAAAGGTAGTAAAATACTAAAAAACGGTGAGTGGGCATTATAGCGAGTGACTGAAAAAAATTTCTTAGTGTATAAAATTGGCATGCCAGAGCTGATTAGTTTTCCTTTAAAACCTCAGAAAAAAACGAAAATTTTGACAAAAAATTAAATTAAAACAAGTAATTTTTAGCAAAAAAACAACTGACTTAAAACAAGTAATTTTTAGCAAAAAAAAAACCGACTTCAACTCTCATATAAAAAAAATATATATATATATATATATATCTCATGATCCGCTGATCGGATCTTAACCAGATTAGTATAGGACCACCTCTTATCGAAATCGGTTGACGTGGTCCAAAGTTATGCGGTAACATACATAAAAAAAATAAAAAATATTCCGACGAACTGATAACCTCCTCAGTTTTAGGAAGTCGGTTAAAAATTGCATGCAGTCAGGAAATAAATGCCCACTTCATCGAGTAGCGAGTGCAGTTGTGAATATATATATGACAGTAAAAATACAAATGAAAATACTTTTAACTTTTCTTTTTTGCTAATTGCAAATAACAATTTATCAACCGCTACTTGTTTCAGCTTAAAATTAAAACTTAATGACTTCATTGTTTACACATGAAAACAAAGCTAATATCACTCATTTAACAAGTTGCAAAACTCATAGAGATTTAACGCAATCAATATTTAGAAATTTTAATACCGAAGTTTTGAAATGAAAATGTATATTTTAAAGAATATAAATTTGCAAAAATCGCATATAATATAAATTTGAAAAAATATCGTATACGTGAAATTATTATTTATACCAATTCAGTATCATTTGCTTAATACAGTTTTTTTTTCTTCTCAGTGCAACCTAGCGCTTCTCACTTTTCGTTTTATAAAACCGTATAAATGTGTGCAATAAAGTCATTATTTTATACAAAATAAAATTATTTTAAATGAAATCCCACTTCGTCCTAGGCATAAACAAATTTTATGCGAAATTTTTTACTTTTCTTAACTTAGTATAATTCCTTTTTTAATACAGCCTTAAAATTAATAGGACACAAACAGTTGCGAGACTGTTTGACTTAGATAATAGTACCTTTAAAGCAAAAGAAAAATAATAATTCAATATAAGAAATTAAAAAGTGCTTACTCACACTTATTTGAAGTAAAAACTGCATTAATTGCTTTGCAAAATGGCGAATTGGTGTTAAAACTTATGGAAATTTAAACTCATACATTTTGCATTTTTACTATGAAGCACAGCAGAACACGCAGAAAATACTTTAGTTTTAGTTTTTTCTTTTTGATGAAAATTTCGAAAAGTATGGAGAATATGGAGAAAAATTTCAGATGCTATTGGCGTATTTATTTATTTACAGCTTAGAGTTGAAGAGTAGTAAAAAGTCATTTGCGATAACTTCAAAAGGGGGAAAAAAATAAAAACTCTCTGAAAAAATGCATTTGCACAAACTTTAAAAAAGCTTCAGATTTTTAGCAACATTCATAACGTCAAACAAATAAATTTGAAATAAAAAATTTTCGGAGGAATTAAAAAACATTTTGGAACGAAATTAAAAATTTGCAAACTTTGTGTAATTCGCGCTCTCATTCGTAATTGGCTAACCAATTATGTACCGAATCACTTAATTGAAAAATACAATTTTAGTTCAATGAATTTCAGAGAATTTTAAAGACGGATTCTAATTTTTTTTTTAATTTGCGCAAAATTTTACAAAGCAATTTGCACAGTTTTTTGTATCAAAATTTGCATTTTAACATAAGAATATTGTAAATGATAAATTCAAAGTTTGCGCAAACACTTGATACTGCTCTATTCATTATGTATGTACGTACTTGTAGAAAGCTTACTAAATAAAAAAAATTCGCTCGTCGATTTTGCATGAAATTTGCTTGTCTGACTTTGTTTATGCTCAGCGTTTTTCTCTGTGTATTTTGTCTTATGACTGTTTGTTCGTTTCATTACACTTAAATTTAATTACAGATAATAAAAATGTATGGCTCATAAAAAACTTGATTGATTTCATTACATCTCCTACTTCGTTTCACATTCCTAACTGCTTCAACTATTTAATTACAATAAATGCTTGAGTGTACATATATTATTACATACGCACATGAACTTGTATATCATGTATGTAAGTATGTATGTAGAGTAAGTTATGTAAAATAATCCTATTTTCTTTGTTTCGTTTAAATTTTAATTTAAAAATTAAAATTTGTTTTTGGTTTTTGTTTTGCATACAGCAAATAAACAACAAATAATTATGCATCATTGTATTAGTTGCTGTTGTTGTTGTAAAATATTTTACTGGTGTTTTCGTCTTAATGAAGTAGTTGTTTTTCACTTGCTCTTACTTTCTCCATCTGCTTTTCTGCACTTTTATAGAACATTTAATAATCATATATGAAGTTGCTTTTCGTTTGTGTTTTTTTTTTTGTAGTAATATTAATCATAATTATATGTATGTATTGTATAATATAAATGCGTTTCATATATGTTTATGTAGTTATGCAATATTTTTCTTAGAACTTCGTCATTCAGCTCCTCAGCAACTTTTCTATGATTTTACTTTCTTCTTTTTTGCATCTTTTTCATTATATTTTCTTCGTTACGTATTTAGTTTTTATAGAAAAAAGAGCGAGAGTGTTTGTATACACGCACTTAGTTTTTTTTTCTTTTACACTTAATGTGATGTTCTTTTATGTATATATGTATGTCCAAATAACATATATATATATGGTACTTATCTCTTTCGCACAAATTACGCCCGTCATCTCTTTTGTTTCAATTTCCCGCTCACACATTTCCTCTCTCCGTAACTCACTTATATTACTCGCTCTCTTTCTCCCATGCGCTGCCTAACTATTTTGAGTAGAGCTGGAGAGTATGTACATACATTTGTCAAACCCCGCTCTCCATTCTTCGCTCCCCCTCAGCAATATCTCTCACACGCTACATAATACTCAACTAATTTCTGCTCTATGTATTTCACCAAACTAATCCACTGAAAGAAAAAATTTGGTTTGTTTTGGTTTTCGCTGCTGCTGCTGCTGCTGCTGTGACTAGTGGAGCTGGGAGGTTTTACATTTTTCTGCTAGTTGTTGTTGTGCTAGTAAATTGTGTTTGTGGTTATCGTTGGTACTACAGCTAACGGTTTACAAATTACACTGCCATAGTATCGTAGGCTGTGAATCCTGCGCCACTTTGTTGTTGGAGTTGTTTTGGACCGGCTTCGTTTCTGTTTTGATTGGGCCAAAGTGTGGCGAGTTGAGAGAGAAAAGCAATAATTAGTAAACTTGGAAATTGCATTATTTTACATACACAAATTTATGGAATGCATGTGAGAAGTTATTACAATTTTAATAATTTATATATCGCCACCTAAGTGGGAAAAGGTGCCAAGTCCATTTTTTTTAGTTCTTCAGGAGAGACGAAAAATTGATGTAGTTTCGTATTACCTACCATTTTGCATCCAAAATTAAATTATGAAAAAATATGGACTTGGCACCTTATCACCTTTAGGTAGTATGTATTATTTTTACAGTATTTATCTCATTCTTAACTCTTTTCAATGCATACTATATATAGTTAGTAAGTACTTTTTACTTGCTCATATTTATAATTACAGCTATATATTAGATTTATACAATGTGGGTATTCACACTTGTCTGGTTATGCGGTTTTTTATTCAGTTTATAACGCGTAAACTTACTTATTTTAGACTTTAAGCCAAATAACCTGATAACCAGGCTAGTGTGAACACCCACAATAAAATGTTCAATACAAAACACGAAAGTTTGTGTATACAGTGTTTTAAGAGGCTCCAAATTTTCGATAGAAAGTACTAATATTAAAATATAGCAGGCAAGCTTTACCTAGGACTATTCCATGTGATGCTTATATAAAATTATCTCCCGAATTCGAGTATCTAAACAGATTTGTATACTATGAGCTGTGAATACCCCTATTAAATAATTACGGTTTTTGGATCTTAAAGAGACGTTTAAAATAATGGAAATATATTTTTCTCATACCTGTATGCCATAATAGATCTACCGATCGCAGTGCTATAACTAACTCTCTATCTCTATCTAAATATGCCATAAAAACATTTTCGGCAATACAAAACCGTGTTCAGGTTACTCAGATTCTCGCTATGAAGTGTCTGTCATATTCGGTATTTTCACAGTGGAGTTAGTTCACGTTTGGCAGTTAACTCTTGAATTTCGGTAAAAAAAAAAAAAAAATCTGAAGTGAACTTGCGAATATGAGTTAAATCTCTACAGTAAAAACGGCTTATAAAGAACGCTGTTTTTGATAGCGATTGTTTGTTATACTTTTGGGATATTAAAAAAATTATTTATTATTTTATTATTTGAACAAATCTAGAACTAACTTTGAGATAAATATAATGAACAATTTTTATATTATTTACATACATTACATTTATTTATATATTATAGTAAAATCTCCTTGATAAACCTTGATAAAACAAAAAACTCTATAGGACAAAAGGTTTGCTGAGTCCTCTGAAAAAACTCGTTGTTGGGAAATTTACCTAATTTTTGGGGGATATTAAAAAAATTATTATTTGAACAAATCTAAATCTAAATTTGAGATAAATATAATGACAAATTTTTTATTATTTACATGGGTAGCATTATAGTATTGAAAAATCTAATTATCATATTACAGTGAACTCTCGATGGAGCAAACCGTGATAAAACAAAAAACTTGACACAACAAAATGTTTGCTAGTCCTCTGAAATAACTTCGTTGTTGCGAAAGTTTTCTCACAAGAATGCCCTATAGATATAACGAAGAAATTTTGAGCTTGGGATAAAATGGCAGTTAAAGTCTCGTTAACAAAAGACTCGGCATAACAAACTGCTCACATCAAAAAACGAAACCATACTTATAACGATTTTTTTTTAATTTTGCATTTTTCGTTGTATCTAATGTTTGATATTCTATAAACATAGCGAAACTATAAATAAGACGATGTATTTGTCCAACCGCTTCAACTTCGTTATATTGAGGTTTCACTGTAATTAATCGTATTATTTTGCGAATAATTATCTCTGGTTGGCTGGATTAAGGTTTTTTTTAGATAACTGATAACGACGGTATATAAGTATAAAGCCATTCAGTGGTTTTCCAACGGAGTCATCAATTTTACTCAACAATTAAAACATACAATTGCAACTTATTCAAAAGTTTGTGAAAATGTGTTACAAGCTGCAATACATAATAATATTCTTTTCCATATTTAGAAAAGCATTGGTCGAGTAACTATAGATTTATATCTATAAAATATATTTATTAGGATTTTTACAATAATCAAACTGTGATTTGCCGTTTAACTCAAATACAAGGAAAAACCATAAAAAAATAATCAAAAGTAAACGTACAATACTTTTTAAGATACAAAAATTAAAAATAGATACAAACATCAAATCAAAAACAAAAACATGCAAACATGTATTATGTCTTTAACTAAACTACAAAAATAAAATTTATTTACCCATTTAGTCATATCTTACTATGTGGCTACGCATGCAAAGAACAAACACACAAATATTATTATATTTTATACATATTTAGTAAGTACTGATGTACTAGATATTTATACAAACAAAATAATCAAACTTACAATGGCCGTCGACTATGGTGGGTAAGTACGAGTAGTTTTGTAGATATAGTAGTAGAATTGGTAGTAGTACGAGTAGTAGTTTACATACATAGTAGAAGTGAGTGAGAGTTGTATGTAGATCAGGGATTAAATACAAAAAAAAAATACCCAATAAGAAATTGATTTTAATTAATAATTACATAATTTGTGCTGTATTTCAAACTTTCATAGCTAATTTTTTGAAATTTTTAAGTAACAAATTAAAGTATTCGACTACTTTAGTGCAAGTAGAGAAGTATAGAATGTTTAAAATTTTTGCAATAAACGAACAAGTTTTACATATTCGCGATTTCCATATGAATAAACGAACTTAGTAAAATCGTTTGAGAATATTTTCACATGGAATTCACGATAAGCCTGATTTTTTACTCCTACTTTTATTTAATCAAACTACTGTGATAATACATATTTAAATTGAAGAACTTTAACACAAATGCAACTCAACTAATTTTACGAGATAACCTCAGCAAAAAATATTTGCCTTCAATAAATTTCTCAAACTTGTGCTTTTTAACAGCGAAATATCAAAGTTTTCAAAATTTTAATTTTAACTTTCTACTTTAATCAAAGTTATGCTTAATACGCTTGCTACATTAATACAAATAAATTTTTTCACGCTTAAAAATTGCCTAGCTTTAACTTTTAGAAATTTTAGAAATTACTTTATAAAATATTTTTTTTTTTTTTTTATAATTGTTTGGTGTGCTTTTTCCGTGTCTTGCATACTTTACCTTTCAATCAGTTTGCGCATTTCTTCAGTTGTACGCTGATCCTTTTGTAGTGGGGATCTTTTGACAGCTGCTTACATTTAAAATTTTTATTTATTATTATTATTTTTTTGTTTGTGCAGATATTTGAGTTTTGTGAATCAATTGTTTCCCAACCGTTAGCACAAATACAATTTAGTTTCGGTATGAAAAAGTTCCGTAATAAAATGATAAAAATAAAAAGGAGAAAGAAAATTTATAATCAATAAATTAACAAAAAAAAGTTACGCTAATTATATTACATAAATATAAAATTGGAAAATCGATATGATGTATTATAGAATTTTTCATGGAAGATTTAATGAGAAATTATGGTAAAAAGTTACACGCCTAATTTAATTTATTTTTTTTTCACAATCATTTTAAAATGAGCTTAATCTTCTAAATTTCGTGAGACTGTTTAAATAAAAGTTATTTGATTGAAACATTTTTTCAACCATATTGAAAAATTCCAAAATTCCATAACACATATGTATTTTCCAAATTGACAAAATTTGTATTTTGTGCAACTAAATTTTCAATATTTTCATATTCCTACCAATTTTGAAAGCTAAAAAGTTCGTGAATTACATTGAATTTCGCTAATGCAAAAAAAGCGGCAAGTTAGCTCTGCCCTTAAGGCGATCTGCTGAAAAAGCAGAGTCAGTTTAAGCGCCGAAAAGTTTCATTTCTTCAGAAATAGTACATAGATATAGTAATGGCCAAATAAAGGTTTAAATTTGGGATGGAATTTAATACCTTGGCGTTAGTGAATTTGCATTCATTAACGGACCCTTAAACGCTTCTAGATACATTGATAATACTGGTCAACAAAAATTTGCGGCAGAGCTTTTGAGAGCAGATTCCTATAGTATTTCCTCCATAGATTAAGAATATGTTCTTTAAATTCTTCAACCTGAAACATGCTTCCATTTATTTTTCATCGCATCCATACCGTTTTTTTTTTAATTTGTCTTATTTTAGTTGCTTTAAAGTCTTTCAACGAAAGTTTCAAATTCTAACAACGAAAACATGAAAGGATGTGTCCAGATATGATCGACAGAAAAATTGCGATCCGAGGGGGGACCCGATTGTCGTGGGAACTATTTTAAAGTTTTGTGTGGACTATACAAATTTGCGATTGAAAGATAATACAAAAATTAGAAAGTCGCAATCATTATCGTGCGTACGAATATAAATTGCTAAGGTTTAAAAATTTGATAGCAGCGAACGTCAACAGCAATAAAATATAATAATCGTTCTTCTTGTGTCGTCTTGCACAGATCAGAGTGAACATTTTGAGTCAGTTTATAAAAACCGCGTTTCTTATGGACAAAACTACTTTTTCACGAACTTTTTAACTTCCATTTGCATATTCTGAAAAAAAACATACAATTGAGTCCAGCTTTTTTTAAATGGTTCCTTACTTCATGCAAATTGCGAGTTTCTTAAAATTAACAAAAATAATGTAAGAATGTATGAATGTTTATGGTAAATACCCCTTCGATCAACTAACTAAGCTAGTGACATCTTGAATAATGTTGCCTATTTATTTTTTTTATTATTTAATGTTTATAAAATTTTTGTGTTAAAGTGTAGTTTATTATATGTATAATAAAAGCCATGAAAATCTACATTTGAAACTTTGTACACAAATTCAAAAAAATTGTCACCAAAAATTGAAACTCATAATTTTTAGAAATTCTTAGAAAGTTTTATAGCTCATCAAATGTGTGTATAACAAGGTGCAAGTTTGAAGTGGCGAGAATTCGCCATAATTTTCAGTACTTTCTTCCATTTAAAAAAATTTCGGGCATACTTTTTGTACATATAATGAGGAAAATGCTCAAGAAAAAAATATAAACGCGAATATCTAACCCCTTTAAACTTGCAATTTACTGTACTAAATTTAATGGGCTATAAAACTGCCAATCCATTTTTTTAAATCTGAATAAAAGATTTTAGTGAACATTTTTTTATATTGTATAATTTTTGAACAAAGTTTGTAATGTGCTATTTAAAAAAAAAATAATAATAATAAACAATAAATAAACAAAATAAAAAGACCCTAAACTTATCAAAATGTCATTAACTTAATTAGTTGGCCACATGTGTATGTAACACAATACGGATTTTATAAATTTTAACTTAACGTTTTTTCCATATTTTTGATAGTGGTGATTATTTTTTTCTATTTTAGGTGTGAGCTTTGTTGCCTTACATTTCCACTAAAAATGAATTATTACATTCCTAATTTTCATGCACAAATCTTAAGGCTGGTTTCCACTGCGATTACAATCGTTAGTTAAGGGAGCACACTTTCCCACATAGAACGAGCATATTTATATTTGAAGCTTTTAAGACAAAAATGAATTTTTCGGAATTTTTGTGCGCAACTTTCAATCATCGGGTGGATTTACTAGTCAGAAATTTCGTCCAGACCAATAATTTTCGGGCACATTTTGTAAAAAATGTTCTATACAGATTTTGTAGAAAAAACTGTGAAAAATCGCGCCTCAAGTCTTTCTTTCAGCCCAAAAAATGTGTATAAAGATTTGCTGTAGAAACATTCTTAAGTCTTTAAAAGATAGCTTCAGGCAAGCTCTATAGACCCACAATTTTTTATAAAAATTGTGCAAAACTTTATGAGATATTCGCGCTTGAAGCTTTTAAGACAAGAATACACCAGTCGTACGAACTTTTTGCAATCGAAGTATCGCCCAACTGCCTGCAGCCAGGACTTACTTTTTACATTTTTCTGAATTTGTGTCGATTAATACCAAAACTAATCCGTAGTGGTTCGTTATCTATGCAAACGTTTTCGACAAATAAAGAAGATAAAAAAAAAAACAGTGAGAACAAGCCTTAAGAACTGATTGAAATAAAAAGTAGAATGAAGTAGAAAAACTGAAATAAGTTTTACAGTTCAATAATGGTTACACTTTCGAGTTTAGGGTTATATGTTTAATAATGCTCCGTTCCTGTTTGGAAAACAAAACCACCGGTTTGGTAAGTTTTTGGAACCCATTTAAAAAAGCTGGATCATCGATGTTCGATTTTCTGGCGCTAAACACTACAAATAAAAATTGTATTTTTACAACTACACACTTATGTATTTAGTAAATAAATTCTATAATGTGAAATGAAGTCATGCTGATGCCATGTACAATATGAAATGGACTTAATGAATAAAATTATGTAAATTAAAAATAATAATAAGAAATTTTGTATGTGTCAATAAAAAATAAAATCTTCATAATTTTCTTAACAAAAAACCCCCACACTTTTTAGTGACAGATATATGAGTGAAAGTAAAATTTGTTGAATTTTCATGGACTGGAAACTAAAACATAAAATACAGGATGTGAACACGATGTGCTTTGAAAATGAAAGGAAATGAAATGGTGCAAATTATGGTGAAGGAAATTGTAAAATGATTTCAACCCAACCCTGCAATAATTAAAACTGTAACCAAAATATACAAATGTTAAATTTTGAAAAACATATAAACAAAACACAAGGGTTAACACTTTTTAGCAAAACACAGTATGAATATTTGAAGACACTTGTCGAGTATGGATTAATAAAATTTACAAAAAAAAATAAATTTATTGTACGCATGAAATGCGTTTCAATGATGCGTATTTGGGTAGCCATATACGATGTTATGATTCTCGATGGTTGCAGGGGCTCAAATGATTTGTATATTCGATGAATTGTTTGATGGGATTAATGAGCAGGGAATATTTGTGTAATATGAAAAATGGCTACTAAAAGTGGGTTTGACTTAAAGTAAGATTTTATATTAACACAAGCCTACATTTAGAAAGGAATTTTCGGACTAAGCTTTCTTTTGGGAAATTACATTTTAGTATAAAATAAAGATTTTACAATATAATGTGTATGAACCTGTGTATATTTATAGGTATGTATGTATGTGTGTAGGCATAACTTAATAACTAAAACTCCGTAATTGTTGAGAAGTGGGCTTATGAAAAATGAGCAAACTTCCAACGCATTATGACCTTCTAGGCGATATGAATGCAAGGATAGATTAGTGAATGCGTTGGAAAATGACGTTTTTGAGTGTGCGACAATAATAATTTTGAAAAGTATGAATATGCGTTTTTGGGAACATTAGTGCGAATAATATTGAGAAGAAATATTTTCTTTTACAATTACGACAACATTTAAAACAGGGAAATTTTCGTTCAAAATGTGTGGGAAATTGTTTACAAATTAAAAATTTGCATGAAGACTTTCGAAAAATAGATAATATAAATTGCATATTCAAGAAATTTTGAAAACAAACCAATTTTTTTTTAAAATTTTCACTCACCCTCACTGGAGTCTTCTGCGTATTTTTTATAAAATAATTTTTAAAAATACGAAACAGCATAGATTAGCATTAATTTGTTTCAAATACACAAGCAAAAATAATTAACATTACATTTATACTATTTATGATGCGGTTATAAATACACATAATAATTTTTGTACAAATGTACTATATATCTGATATAAGCCTTTCATATAAAAGCCTTTTTAATATAACCTCTTTTTCAAAAATGATTATAAAAAATCTATAATTTTTTATTTTCAAAAGCTCTTTTCTTTCAAACTCACCGCCATAATTGCCGCGTGGTCCATGATCACGATCACATTCAGCTTCTGAGATCTCATTGCTCTCCTTGGAGTCATTGAACGATGAATTGCTCATATCGTGGTTGCGTGGTGGTGGTGGTGGAGGCTCTGGCGAACCATTGCCTGGATTACGTGCCGAACCTAGCAAATAATTACAATTGCATTGAAGTCTTGTAGCCGATTTTAACGTGATTTGCGCCCACTTACCAACACTGCGACGTCCCATCGAGCCACGTGAGCCATAATGATCGTATGGTGTGCCATATGGACCGCCATACTGTGAGCCATATTGATCCTCTTCGGGTGCGCAATTGGCAGGATCATCATATTCAGGGCCGGGACCTGAGTACAGGCTGCCGCCCTGCGAGTTGACGCGTGTGTAACGGCGCTGGAAAACACGAAAAAAAAATGCGTGAAATTAATCTAATTCAACGCTTTCAGCTTCTACTCACATATTGATCCTCCTCAGCGCAATTGGCTGGGTCATCATATTCCGGAGCTGGTGTGTAAATCGACGATTGTCCACCTTGGCTATTCTTGCGTGCATAGCGATTGGCGCGTGGCATTGACTGTGAGCCGGAGCGTGAGTGTACATGTCCGGGATGACCGGGTGGTCCCATGGTGCCAGCATGTCCGGGTCCGGGTGCATGTCCATTTTGATGTGGGAAGGTTTGGAAGTTCATTGCTTTGGTGGGATCCATTTCTTCGCGGAAGCCGAGCAAGTGGAAGGTTGCATAGGGACAGATTTCGTCTTCCATGCCTTCGGTGATTGATGTTTGGAGAATTTTGTAGAAAAATGCAGTGAGTTAGTAAAGACTTGTGAAAAGTAATTGGAGGTTGTTTGCTTTTGTTTGGTAGTTTATGGGGTTGTGGGTTATGTTGTTACTGTTGTTACATTGTATTGCGTTGAAAAGTGATTACATATTTGAAAGTTCATGCAAAATTTTAATATTTTTACAATTGTAAACTGTTTTTTTTTTTTTTTTTAAGAAATACACACCATTACTTACTGTTAGTAGTTGTTAAAGTCTCTAGTCTTGGTTTGAGTACCCACAAAATTCAAAATAAATAATAACTTATAAATAAGACATTTAAAACATATTGTGCTGCTGAAGAAATAAGAGGGCTTTTGAAATGCTAAAAAGTTACCAAAGAAAATATAAAAGCTTCAGAGCTTTTTTACTGCAGCAGGAATTAAGAATAGCTTTTTAAGAGTCGTGTAAGTAAATAAAAAAATTTCGATAAATACAAAAGACCAAAATTTTTAATATCTTAAATTTAAAAAAAAAAAGTTAAATTTTCTTCAAATTTTGAAACGTTCTACTTTTTACAATTAAGGAGATAATCTTCAAAAAAAAATAAGAATCAGTGGAAAAAAATTTTAAAAGGTTATTCATTTCGTTAGTCAACTTCTAGAGCAACTCGTTCACTAAATCTTTCAAAACCTTGCCAGCTTTTTGGATATTTCAGAGAATTTGCTTTTGTTAAGCATTTCGATACATACCTACTATGTATGTACTCATGTATTGCATGTATCACAATTATGAACATTGTTAGTCACAAACAATTGTTTAACAATAAATAACGCAAAAAAAAATTAAGTAAAAAAAAACAATCTTATCGAAAAAATAATGTTAATAAAGCAAACAAAAAAACTTCAAAAAATTAAGTACCACCCTAATGCAGCCTACCTGGATGTCTATAATGGCATTGTACATCCTCGGGACCATAATGATTACCGTGCAATGGCACTGGTGGCGTCTTCAATTCCTCGTACAAGTTTGTACGGCGTGGATCCCAGGTGGAGTGATTCGAGCGTATGCCACGTGCTACTCACACATACACACACGCACGCACACAAGTTCATAAACAGACCCAATGTGCATGGCGCGTGGGTTTATATAAATTTTATAGTAGATAATTTATTTCATTTGTTGGAGTGTAAGATCGCGTGTAGTTGTGTTTTAAGTTTTTTGTTGTTTAGTTTGATTTTTTTTTTAATTTTGTACGTATTTTTTAAATTAACATAATAAAGTGTTTCATATAACATGAAGCGTGGTTGCAGGAGTAAAAAAGCCATTGAAATCGGAATTATATATTTTTTGGATTGGATTGGGATTTGTAGTAGGCGGGTTTCATATGGTGAACATAAAAGGAAAAAAAGAGAATTTATATTTTTGAGTAAAATATAGCATACAAAATTAAGTAGTCTAAGGTTTTTAAAAAAGGCGAAAGCATTTTGAGTGAAACAAAATTCGTATTAATTTTTTACGATCTAAGAGTAATCGCTGATGTATACTTTGGTTTCGATAGACAGCTTTGCATAAAGTGAAGTGCTAACGATAAACATAATTGATGAAGGAAACGACAGATGTACACTCTCGAAATAATATCGATAGCAGGAATGATAAAGTTAATTTGGTGAAGGAAACTTCAGCGGCAACGGTTCCGAAAAACATATCGATAACAGTAACGTTATCGATAGTACCATCGAATATTATATTGACACAAAATTTGAACAATAATAGTATCGATAAAAGCCTTTAAAGTTATCTATTTCAGCATGAATAACTATATCGATAACAACTTTTTGCATGGCATAGCGTTTTCTTTTCTCGAAATAATGTTGCATTTATTCTGCCCTGCGCCAGGGCTGTCAAGCTTTCGTGTTCCTTTCTCAGTATCTTCACATGCATATTGCGTTCTCTTTCTTTAAAATGTTGCACCCTGATAATGTTGCCATATAAGAAGGTGACATTTTTTTCGAGAAAAGAAAACGCCATTAGTTCTTGGGTTACCTTATTCTTATAAAGGAGCAAATCAAGTTCCTTAAGCAAAGTTTACGGTGGTGTGGTGTGACCAATTCTTGTGTCACTAGAATAAGAATAGCTTTTCTACTGGCATGGTAATTACGAAAAAACAATTCTCGTAAATGCTCCTAAGGTTACAGTCACCGACTCGGAATTACGGTAGAAAATTTTAATTATTTCGAAGTGATTGCTTTACGTTAAAGTTAAACAGGCAATCTACAATATAGCTTTTTTTATATCATATGGACAGGACTGGACAGGAAGTCAGTACCATATCCCCGCGGAACGAAATTAATCGCTTTACCATAGAACAATATGGGAATTAATGCAAATGGATTGGACAACGATTTTACTCGAAAAATCATATTTTCTGAGAGGCCGCATTTACACACGTGACCGTCGAGAAGCCAATGCATCCTCAGAGGGTGACTGTTTGGTGCGAATTTTGGAGCGGTGGCATCATTGGCTCATTTTTCCTTGAAAATACTGCTGGAAACGCCATTTCGGTCAACGATGAGTACTACAGAGCCATGATAATCGATTTTTTGCGTGCAGAAATTGAAGACATGGACTTGGGCGAACTTTGATATCAGCAGGATGGCGCACCATGCCGCACAGCCTATGCCACAATCGATATTTTGCCCGGCAATCGTGTTATCAACCGTCTCGGTGATGTCGATTATAGCTGCAAGTTGGCGCTGTAGAACTTTTTTGTGGGGACCAATACAGGTTCGTGTTGGGGAAGTTTTACTGTTTTTTTTTTTAATTGGCGGATACTTAAGATACTTCGCCTTAAATTTTCTTTCACTCATAATAAAAGCATAAGCTATTACTTAAAGCTATTATCTAAATTTACTACAACATTTATGAAGCATGCAAAAGATACAAAAAATTCTACCAAAAGGACATTACGAAACTTTTTATGTATATGTATGAAAATTTGTCAAAGTTTAGCTAGATAGGCTACACCGTAAAAAAGTATTGTACCAGAAGTGCGTACAAAGTAAACGAAATGTACATTTAGAAATTTCTAAAACGAAATTCTAAAATAACGCTAACTTATTAACAATTAATTCGTTACTTCAGTTTTATTTTTCTTTTGCATTCTGTCCTTTTTTAATAGCATTGGGTATGCATATGGCGCAAAGCGTAAATGAATAGCCAATAAACCAACAAAATAAAGCAGAAAGGCAAAAAAATATACGACCTTTTCATTACGCAAAAAACAAACAAACCCAAAAAAAAAACTTGGAAGAACAAGAGGATATTTGCTCGCATTAATAAATGTTGTATATTGTAAATTTAGATGCTTACTTATCACTGTACCTCGCTTAATCCGGTCGCAGGTGTTGTAATTCGAGCCGGGCACTGGTGGCAGCTTGCGATTGGGTGGTGCAATATAGCCGAGTTCGTCGCGTAAATCGGGTCGTCGTTTATCCAAGGTGGCGCCAGGTCCCATGGTCTGATTGTAAACTACATCGTCTAGAATTAATATATGATATGGCAAACTCAATATTGGGGGCACTGAAGATGCTTTTACCGACTGACTTTCAACCAATGTCGTTTAAATTTGAATTTGCGATATTTCTTACTTTACTTCTGTTTTTTTTTGTCTTTTTATCTATCGCTCGCCTATATTCAACTGTAGTTTTGGCAAGAGAGCGTAAATTTTTGATTAGTAGTATTTTTAGGCAGGTACTTCTTTGCATACAGTCAAACAAACGCACAAAATCTGACTTACGTGATTTGTTTTTTTTTTTTGGGTTGGTAGTGCCAGAGTAAAAAAAGGGAAAAATAGAACGAACCAACGAGCCAACGAACGAGCTTAAAATAATTAAGGTTGGTGCAACACATTATTTTATGTGAACTAATTAAAGGTGTTCAAAGTTTAGATTTACTTCGGAATACTACCAATATGCTATGTAGTAGATACCTTACGTTTAGATACATTTTTCTGCAAAGCAATACATTTTAATTAAATAAGAAAATTTATGAAAATTTATCATAAATATACCAACATACGTACGCTTAATTCAAAAGTACGAATATGCAATATCATGAAATGTATGATTTATGATTCCATATGCTATAATTTTGTAGTTCATTTGTTTGATAGGGTTCAACAAAACCAATCCAATTTTGTATTTCTCTTCTATGAAATTTGATTTTTAGAAAAGCATCTTAGTTTGGGGGTTTTTGGGATTTTTAATTTTAAATTGAATACAGTTTTTATGGAAAATCAAATGAAAAAGGATAAGTGTAAATGTTGGCTAGTATTTAAAAGTTTGATAGCAGTATGGGAGAAATGTTTAGTTGTAAGAATTAATTAGAATTGAAAGAAAAACAAACATTCAGTAAGGGAAGTGTTTTTTGGAAACATCAAGCGAAGAAGTTTAGAGTGTTTGAGTAGGAAAAGTTTTGATGTAATAAATGTTTATTTTAGATCGCTATATGTAATTACAACGAAAAGTTATCTAAGGGGTTTATTGTAGGTATATAGCTAAGGGGAACTGAAATTTTAAATAGTTTAAATTCTTGGTATATTCATAGTAGAGTTTAATCAACTGGTTTTGGAACTACTAAATCGAAGATCGTTTAGTGGAGGCTTTAGAAACGAGTTTTGTTTTTTTTTTTGGATTTGTTCAATGTCATTCGAATACTGAATTGACTCAAATCGTGGAGAATTGAAAATCATGAATTCAATTAAGTGACTCGAAAAACTGGCAAGCTTAAAGGTATGTCATAGACATTTTTACAATTAAAAGTTTTAGAGAATTCGGGGGCCTCGAGGCCACCCCGGAGGATATAACCTGGAGAAGTCATATGGCGTAATACATTTTTTTTTTGGGGTTTGAGCACAAAGCTAATTGATACGCCTTCGTAGCTTAGACTGAGATTTATTTGTGTGTACTAAAACAAATAATTAAATAGTAAAAACAGTACAACCGACTGCTATTCAACGCTTAAATAAATTTCAAAGGTTGACTATTTTTTCTTAAAATTTCAGACCTTTTACTTAAATTTCATTGAACAAATCGAGTAAAAGGTCTGAAATTTTAAGAAATGGTTTTGGCAACCCGGATCTGCGCCAGAGTTAGACTTGAAAATGGTTTTAAAAAACGCTTCCTTAGTTATCTTTTCAGAGAGTCAATTGGCCCTATCCAATCGGATTGGCAACTCAAACTTGTGCTTGGTAACAGGTACCAGGTACCAAGTTACTGCGACATCGAAGGGAACGAGTTCGTTGACGGACTGGCATGATAAGACTCAGCCTTTTCTCTCTTGGGACCGGAACGCAGTAGCGAAAGGGGGGCCGTAGGCAGGTCAGGCATTTTGTATAGCCTTACGCTAGAAATAGCAGAAGATTAAACCTGCAATTGATTATTTAAATGGTCATAACCGACCGTATTCTCGTTTGCATCGATAAATTAACCGGTTTTGCCGGAATTGCCCTAATGTTACAAATTATGACTAAATACTAGGAAGTTTTCAAAACTAGTCTATAAGAATAAATAATAAATGTCCTTATGATTTGAAAAGAGTGGCAAATTTTAACCCTTGCTATGAATATACCAATATTTTAGGTCGTAGTACGATCAAAATTTTATGGGTACATATTTCTGATTAGTTAATGTGATGAATTAATGGGGATAACGATGAACATTTATAAAGATACTTATGCATGTATGTTATTCAATAATATATTATTTACAATACTAAATATTTAGTAATTATATAGGGACGATAATGCATACATGAATGGGAAAACTAAGCAATTCCCACTTAACAGCACTTATGACTACTATATAGTTGGGAGAGTAGTGATGTTAGAACACATGAGATATTATTTATAGAGAATAGAGAGTAAAATGCCCAGTTTTATGGGGTCTCATTTTTAAGCGGTGTCACACAATTGGTACTTTCATACAGATTTGTAATTTTTTTTTTTTGGTTGAATTCAAATTTACATATATTTTCGATTTGGTAAATTCGTTTCTGTGTGTTGGTATATTTGTGTTGATTTTGCTGTTGTTGTTTTTTTAGAATAATTAAAAAAAAGTGTTTTCAATGCTCATAGGAATTTATGTTAAGGGAAATGTTTTTTATACAAGTGTATGTATATGGCTAGTTTAAAGTAGCAACCATTTTGTTTTACAACAACTAACGATTAACATTCAACACGATATATGATTAACATATACATATATATATATACAACATATACCAAAATTCATAAAAATAAAGAAGATCTTAACTGTTTTATAAACCGAAAATTTTATGAAAATGTCACTTTATAAAGCTCTTTAAATATATTTTATTTTTTATGAATCAGGCCAATAGTTTATAGAAAAATGTGTGCCAAGTTACCGATTTTGAGAGCGACTAGTATATGTCAAGCACCATTTTGAAAAAATTGTGTTAAAAATTAGTTTCTTTTGAAAACCGATGCGATATCTTCCTTTTTCAAAACAGAAATAAAACTCGAAAATCAACAATTTTTATACATACAAGCTAAATATAAAGATAATTTAGATTTAGTTATAAATAAATGCATATTATTGCAATAATAAAGCTCGCTGCTATGTACGCTCAAGGATAGTAAAATGCAAAAACCTACAGTACACATCCTTTTGTCCGCCTCGCAAGTCGTCCGCACGGCGTCTGGAAAGCGCTACACACACAACAAGTATACCCACCGCTACCACAATGACAGTGGCTATTAGAGGCACCATGAAATTCAAATCAAGCCATTCGGGCATCCAAGCGGGCAAGCGTATGCGTGTGTTCAAATTGCCTGTACCGTGACCATCGTCGAGTGGTGCAACGGTGCCTGATTTTATAGTAGTTTTCATATAGATTTTTCATGTTCGAATTATATATTTTTTTATACAAACCGATTATTTTATAGTTTTTTTTTATGCATTTTGTTTTTATTTTACAACAATATTGCATGCATAATCGCGATATTCGAATTTCCGAAGATCGCATTTTTCGTTAATATTGATTTATAGCAAGCCAGACATTTAAATAATTTAATAATTTTAATTTTCGAATAGTTTTTCGTAGTAGGGAAAGGATGCATTTTTACAAAAGATTTTTTTATGTTGTATATTTTTGTATGTCGAATTAATATTGAAATCAAAATGTGAACGATGATAAAAGTTGTTTTGTTGATGATTTGATATGTATGTTTGTTTCGTTGATACATATTAAGCGCAATTAAATACGAGTTTTTCAGAGAGCGTAGGAAATTGTTGTAAATGAAATGGAAAGAAAAAAACGAAAAAGAAATTCGATTAATAAAATTCTGTGTAGATACCTTTGTGATGATTGCCTTTGCTACGTAGAATACAAATAACAATTATCGCTATGATAATAACGAGCAGAGCAGCTACCACCGGTACAATTAAATTTAAGTTGGAAAGTATGATGCGTATCGTATCCTCGGCGGTTAGTTCGGGTAATTCGCGCGAAGGGGCAATTGTTCCTGTAACAACCAAAGTATGTAGAAGAAGCACACAAAACACACGCGTACACCAACGAAATTAGAAAGACAAGAAGACACAGAGAGAAAAGAGAGGCCAATTCTAGGCATTACTGGGTTTAGTCGTCAATGCAATGTAGATTATTTCGTTTTTCGAAATTATACAGATTTCGAACATTACTTTTGTACGTTTTGTTTCGATTTTTGTTGTTGTTGTTGTATCCTTCACATCATTAACGAGTTAATATACAAAAGTTGAATTCGAAATTTTTGCTTGTGTATGTATTAAGTGAATAAAAACAAGAAATTGAATTAACAAGAGTAGAGAGTTTAAAATGTGTGACGCAGAATTAGAGGAAATCACTTAACGGTGTTTACATTTAAGTAAAGTATTTGAATATGTAGTAGAAAATCAAGCGTGAAAAGCTTGAAAATTAGTGTTTCATAAGCTTCCAGAGAAAATATGGAGAACATTTTATGTTACAAAATTTCTATATTACATGATATTTAGTGAGAGGTTAAGTAAAGTTTGGCATTAGCTGAAATTGCACAGCATAAAGTGTATTAGGCAAATGTTTTTTAAGGTCCTTGGTTTTAAGAGCCCAGTGCAATTTTGAGAGTTTTTGTATTTAAAAAATTTCGAATTTTCGAACATGACTTCGAATTTCGAATATGACTTCGAATTTTCGAAATCGAGTTCGAATTCTCAGAAAACGCACAAAATATATCAAACTGCCCAAATCATATCAATACTCACTTACCTCTCACATTCATATTAAATCAATTAAATTCAATATTAAAAAAAAACTAATTAATACTAAATGCAATTTGTTTTCGTCCATCGTTTGGCTATATAAATTTCTAGATGTATTAGATTAAAACTATCTCAAATGAAAGCAAATAACAGCAGTAACTTCAATTTAATTAATTTCAATTTTAAACTTTGCAAACTCGAACAACATTCCTTGATTAAAAGTTTTCAATATGCTAGGCTAAATATGTACTATATGTATAATAGTGAATATTTATTTAACTTATTATTTAAATAACGGTTTAATTAGTTTTTATGCGTAATTTGTAATATGCATGTTATTAATTTATGACTATTTCACAAATGACAATGTATTTAGTAGATATGTATGTATGTAAGTATGTATAAATGCATGTAACGCTTTAATGCATAATAAATGTAGTTATGAACGTAGTGGTATGTAAAACTAAATCGTAATTGAATTATAATCGAATTCAAATTTGACGTAAATCGATATAAAAAGATTCAAATTGAAAAACGAAATAAACTCAGAGAGACGCAGCGAATTTTCTTCTTCAGTTCTTAAAAAAAAAAAAATAATTTAATCTTGGCACTCATGTACTATGCGTGGGGAATGGAGGTTGAAGCAGCACTTTGGTTGTTGCAGGTATTAACAATCCCTTCTTTTTCTTCGATTCGATTCGAATAATACTGAAAGTATTCTTGGAACCCAAATAAAATTAAAAAATTAAGAAACAAAGCAGAACTAACTATGCATATGAAAAGCTGAAAAGTATGTCTAAATGCTTTCATTCTTGGCGGAATGTTGAAAATGCATTTTAGGTTTAGGGTAAATATGTGTGTATGTAATCGTGAGCTTGGGTTTGTGGAAAATATAAAGGATGCATAAAAATATTTGAACTCAATAAAACAAAAAAATATACAAAAAGCGAAGTGTACTTTTCCGAAATGTATCTTGTTTTGTTGTCATTAGCATTTGGTACAGCTTTTAAAACTTAGGCTAGCCGTATAATGTGTTTCCACGCGAACTGAATTACGCAATTTGTGAACTATTCTCAATTCAAGCGAAAGTGTGTTTCAATTTTAAGAATTCATTACTGCAAACAAGACAAAGGAAATAGTTCAAAAACAAATACAATTATGTAAATAATATATTCGCTTTTAGATAAAGCTGTTCCATTACGAGTTCAAATTGCATTTAAAACCAAAATTGTAGTGGAATAGAAAGTGACATTCCCTGATTTTGTTAATATACTAATATCAACGACAACGGTACTGGAGGCCACAAAACAAGAAACTAGTATTTGTGAATAATTTGGGGATAGCAAGTTAGTACAGCTAGTCGAGCTTTTGGAGGAGCTAACTGAATTTAATTTTGTAAAAAAAGAAGGATATTGATGACGGCACATCACACGTTTAATAATGTAGAGAAGTAAATCCAATTAATAAGCTTAATAAGGAACATGTTTTCAGAAAAAAATTCGGAAAAATTTCGAAGATATGTGCCTTTGCACCCGTCTTTTTGTATAGCAACTGTATGAATAGATCAAACTCTGATTGCGTTTTCCACAAAATTCAAATTTTGGAATAATCCCCTATATTATTAAATGTACGATTTGGCATATTGGGATATATTTTGTTGGAATAGTGTTCGAGCACATTTTTTTTCTAAGGGTGAGAAGTTTCAGAAGAATGAATGAACTTAAAGTCCACTACGAAGCGTAGTACCCAACGATGTAAACACTGACAATAAACGACATTCATAGTGGCAGTGTCAGCAAATTTACTAACTCTCTAAACAATGAAGTATTCGACACTTTCAGATTTTTTATTTTTTTTTGTTAGGTAGGTTGTAGGAAACCGGATACTGATGCAAATGCACACAAATCAAAAGTAGGTGTCATATTAGGTAGGTAGGTTGTCGCGGTCGTCTATAAGACACACTTAGGCTCAGGGCCCATTGTGATGCCGCATGTTGGGTCAGCAACTCCCAATCCCTCCTAAAACCATTTTGAACTTTGAACGAATTTTAGAAGATCCCTGATTTCGACGCATCTAAGGTCCTCCAAGTTGTCGAAGAATTGCCTACCGAGAGTGGAGAGTCTTCGTCTAGATAGAGCAGGGCATTGGCACAACAGGTGCAGAATCGTTTCCTCCTCTTCTTCATCTTGACAACTTCTACAGAAGTCATGTGAGCGTAGGCCAAGTCGATAGGCGTGCTTGCCAATTAGGCAGTGTCCTGTTATGACGGATACTAATAATCTAATATTGGACTTATTTAGACTCAGTAGTAGGCCAGTGCGTTTGGCGCTGAGCACCGGCCATAATTGTTTGGCAGTTTTGCAGGTGATTTCGTCCTGCCACCTTTCGTTCGCTACTTTAGTGAGCCTCTCGGAGATAAGTAGCTTACAAGTTTGCAAGGGTATTCCTATTTCGTCATTTATATCCTCAAAAGGAAGTTTCGTGCCAAGTCGCGCCAGTTCGTCGGCCTTACAATTCCCCTCTATGCCGCAGTGTCCCGGAACCCATATTACCTTTGGGCGAAATGACTCAGCCATCTCGTTAAGAGATGCGCGGCATTTCATGGCTACCATGGAGGTTGTCGACTGCTTCGTGAGGGACTTTATTGCCGCCTGGCTGTCAGTGAAGATATAGATATCAACTTGGTGTATCATATCACACTTTACCAGTTTCGTGGCCCTGTCGATTGCCATCAGTTCAGCCTGAAAAACGCTACAGTGGTCCGGGAGACGAAAGCTGAGGGAGATTCCCAGGTGATGGGAATATACACCTCCTCCAACCCTTCCCTCGAGCTTTGAGCCATCTGTGTATACATGGATGGACTCTCCACTACTTACAACGTCATGCTTCCACTCTTCCCTTGAGGTTGGGAGGGTCGCGAACGCTGTAGCGGGTGCAGGTTCCGGAAGTGCATAGTCCACCAATCCGGGTAGCCCCGGAAACTCCGTTAATATTCTACCGTGACCATAACTGGTATTTGACCACTTATTTAGAATGTTCATTCGAATTGCCGCGCCACTTGCGACTTGTTTGGCATGAAGGTCCACCGGAAGAAAATTCAGTAGGGCATACAGTGCCTTGGATGGTGTTGTTCTCATCGCACCAGTTATGAGTGTGGACGCAACCCTTTGAACCTTGTCCATTTTTTTTTGAAGTTTACCCCTTTCCCAAGGGTGTTCCACCATACCACTATACCGAGATAGAAAATTGGCCTAACCACCGCCAGTGTATTATTTTGGGTTGTCATTTAGGTTCATTCAGTTTATTTAGGTGTCATATTTTGTAGTCAAAATTTTAAATTGGTGCTTCAAAAATAGGAGAATTCGTAGCTTTTGTTTACAAAAATCTGGCAAGAATTTCGTAAGATTATTTGCTTGCAACACACGACGTATGAATAGGACATATGTACATTTGATGCTGGCATTTTATACATTTTACTTCATTTGGCAAACAACAAAACATAAGATTCTTTTGGATTTCTGTTTTTCATACATGAAAATTAAAAAAATCAAATGAACATAAACTAGCATGAAATGAGGTTCAAGAATACCATTGAGCAAAATAAAGGTAAAAAAAATAAAACCAAAATTTAAAGCATTTAAATTCGGATACGTTACGTTTAAATTATTTTCATTATGATAAACTCTCATTTAATGTAGAGGTGGCAGTGGTTGTGGTTTTCTAAAACAAAGTATTTTTAAAATTTTTTATTTAATTTACATAATTTAAGGTGATTTGGTGTGGTTGGTGAATTCGGGGGATAAAAACAAATTGCATTTACGCAATAAAAATTATAAAAATATAAATATTTACGATTACTAGCAATTTTCGGTCCAACGAAATATTTTCGGTAGTTTTCTACATTGCATTACCATATCGAACAGAAAAACTAAATAAAATGATAAATTGCAGAGCATTTACATTAAAAATATTGCTAAACAATAAAAAATGCTTGCAAAGAAAGAAAAAATCTTTATAAACAAAAACAAACAAATTTTTTAAGCAAAACAATTTTACAAGACAAAAAACGAAATATTTGGCTAAAACAAAGGCGTTTTGAAATATTTTACAAAATCAAAATATTTTCACATTCGAGTGCTTCGTGGGTACGAAATTAAAATTGTATTTTACAATGCAAACATATTTAGAATTTGGCATAAAAAGCAAAAATTTACAAAATTCAACTTTGCATTTTTCGAGGTGATTTTTGTGGGTTCATTCTTTTTAGCATTTTTTTTAAGAAAATCTTGCATTGGCAGACGAGTTGCAACAAAATAAGCATTCGGTGCTTTCATCAACTAGCAATAACTTTTTTTCTACAAAATGTATATCCACAACAAACTCGTGTGGTTTTTTCGTTTTGTTATTTGTATAGGAGAGAAAATGCTGTATATTTTTTAACTTACAAAAGCTTAAATTTCAAAAAAAAAAAAAATAGTTTACATTTCACACGTTTAAAAAAAATTATTAGTTGGCTGGCATTTTTTTTTTTTTTTTAAATATCTATAAGGATTTTTAATATAAATTTAAATTTGCTTAAAAATTTAGATACTTTTTCTTTTTCCGAAAATCGTTTAAAATTTTGCTCATAATTTTTTGTAAAAAAAAACACAAATATTCAGTAGGCTTCAAACTCTTTTAGATACGAACATTTTTGGAGTATTTGCAAATGTATTTCCAAATATGGTAGATTTAATAGAAATTAAAATAAACGAAAAATGAAACTTGAAAAAAATATTAAATATCTTTTATTTCTTATGAAAATTGTTTGCCATTTTGCTAGATACTAAACACAAAATCGGAAATCAAAACATTATTTAATGGGCTACCAATTCCTTTCGAAGTACATGTGTTTTCCTTATTCACTTCAGCATTTTTAATATGTTCCAAATTTTTTAAATCCACAGCATTTTCACTCTCTTCTACCGTAGTTGTATTGTTTATGTACAAAAGCAATGCGAAATTGCATACGAGTTTTTCACATACATATGTACATTAGACACATACTTATGCACATATGCATCAATGCATTTACGTATGTGCGCTCGTAAAGGCAATCATTAGCTACATAGCGTGTGTATAAATTTACAAATATACAAAAACGAATTGGAAAACTGAAAATAAATACCTCCAGTCACAGTCAATGTGGCAAAATCATATTCGGCAACAGTAAAACCGGCAGAATTATGAGCGGTAATACGTAGGTTATACCAGGTGGCGGGTTCCAAATCCAAAACAACATAGTTATTATCGGGCTTAACATTGTTCGAAATTTGATTCCATTCAGTTTGATCGCTAAAAGGAAAAAATAGAGTATAAATTATGTGTACCGCACATGTAGGGAGAGAAAAAATTATTTTTCTTAGTTTTTTCTTAAAGACAGCAACACCAACCGCTTCTTGTTCTCAACAACAAAGTGTGACATAGGGCAGCCGCCATCTTTCCAGGCCTTGAAATGCAGTGAAACCGAGTTGGAGGAAACCTCAATGAAGCGTTGCTTCTCTGGCAGTTTGGGTTTGTAGCCTTTGGTGCGGGTATTCAGTATGTCTGAAGCTTCGCCAGCGCCGATGCTGTGGAAAGAAGTTAAGAAAAGCAAATGAAAAAATTGCAAACATATTTTTTACGCTATGCTTTTGCATACTTGTTGAAACCGGTAGCATAGACTTGATAGCGTGAGCCGCAGAGCAGATTTTCGATAGTGTATTTTTGTGCATCCACAGACACCTCGGCAGTTTCCCATTCTCCAAATTCTGTGCGGAAATTAAATTTAATTAACTTCGCCAACCTAATCACCTTTCCTTCCCCCTTTGCACTTACCTGGCTTATAGTGCAGTGTGTAACCATGCAATGGTGCGGTATCTCCCTCGTGTGGCTTCAATTTCACAGTCAATGAATCGGTGGTTGTGGCCGATAGCGAAACTTGTGGCGATTGTGGTGGTGCCAATACAATCAATTTGTGTGTAATTGAATCCTTTGCAATCGAATTTTCCGCATGGCATGAATATTCACCAGCATCTTGACGATTAACTGACTTTATCAATAGTGAGCCATCGGGCAGAACGCGCATACGATCATTGCCGGTGAATTCAACGCCCTTAATCTTCCAGGTAATCTCAGGTTGTGGCGCACCTACAGCCAAGCAGGGCATTTTTGCATCTTCCTTGAAAGTGGCAGTGAATGTGTCATCGAATGAAGCAATCTTAGCGGGTACTTGATCACTGGGCATGGCTACAATACTCTTTGAAGGTTGACCCTCGCCGATATTAGTGCTAGCGGTGACCCAGAATTCATATGGCTTATTCTTTTCCAATTCAGTCGCTTCATAACTCATTTGATAGTGTGGTATCTTTTGGCTCTTGGGTTCACCTTCTGCACCTTCGACTTTTGAGTATACAGTATACTGTTGTATGATGCCATTGGGTTGCGCTGGTGGGCGCCATGAAACCAATATAGCAGCTTGACCCTTGACTAAGGCCTTAACATCGGTGGGTGCTTCGGGGACTGGTGTGAAAAGAGAAAATTATAAATTGAATGCAATGTATTTTCGAAATATTTTACGAATTTCGACTTACCATCAGGTTCAGTTTGACAGTGTATGGGTGCGCTGCGTACGCCATCGCCGCCAGCGGTGGTAGCGAGCACTTGCATGGTGTAGTTGGTGAATTTCTTAAGTCCATGTAAAACGGTATCTGAGGAGGCAGTCTTCTTGTAGTGACGTTTGGTGTCATCTTTGAATGGAAAATTTTAATTATTTTAAATGAATTAATTATTCACTTCAATTTAATTATTTTTCATCAAAAAATAAGCCACATATAGACGATAAACGTATTTATCGACAACGTTATCGATTTGCTGGCACTATTATCAAGACACATACATACATACTACATATTAATCTGGATTACAATGCTGCTAAACGTGAAAATTGTCAATGATTATTGATTTATCGATACATTTATTAATGTATTTATTTAAATATATTTTTATCGACACGTTTATCGATAAGATACTGTTATCAACTATATATATATTATTTAAAAATATCCAATTAAAACAATTCTGCAATCTATATACCTATAAATTTCGATATTTATCGATAAAAATTGATATATTAATAAAATTATCGAAACTTTAGCGACAAGATATCTTTGTCACCATTATTATATAAAACAAGAATGTTTCACATGAAAAAGGCCTTATTTGAAGATCTACTAAATAATAGGCCCGGAATCACACAAAAATCAGCTGTTTTCAATTAATTTCAATGTAATTTAATTATTGCTAAAAGTCAATATGTCGCTCTTATCTTGGTAGCTTTAAAATATTTATAATTGGCATTCGCCCACTTCCCCCTTGATACTCACCATACCATTCATCGCTGGGCGCATACACCACCTTGTAAGTCTTAATTACGCCATTAGCCGATTCCAGTGGTGGACTCACCCAGCTGACGCGAATGGTTTGCGAGGTCAATGTGGTGCAGGCAGTGTCGCTTGGTGGTTGACTAGGTGTGCCCTCGGCAGTGAATTGTTTCTCCTCATCGCTCAATGGACCGGCGCCAATCTTGTTGAATGCCTGGATCACCACCGAGTATTGAGTGTAAACGCGCAAGTTATTCAATTCCAAGCTATGTTCCTTGCCTTCTTCAGTCAAAAAGTTAACAGTCTCAAAAACATATGAAGAATTGGTATTCGATAGTTTATAGCCAACATAGTAACCCAAAATTTCACCATTCCATTCAGAGCGTGCTGGTGGTTTCCAGGTGACGCGCAGTGTAGTCTGGTTGACGGGTTCAACTTTGATATTCTGTGGCTTGCCAGAGGGTGCTTCTTCGGCGGTAATGATTGTAACAGCTTCCGACGATTGCGAGGTACCAATCGCATTCTCGGCGACAATGCGTATGTTGTAGGTGGTGGCGGGGCTCAATTTCTGCACTTGCGCTTCGGTAGTATGACCAGGCACCATAACACGGTCCACTTCATCCCAGGATGCACGCGAGCGTTTGAATTCAATAATGTACCGGATCAGTGGTGAATTGCCATCGTAGGGTTGTGCCCAGCTCAGCTGCACAGAACGGCCAGATTTGTCTAAAACTTTCAAAGCATAAGGCATCTCTGGCACTTCCTGTATAATCATATTAATGCTAGCATCGTCCGAGCCAAAAGCATTGGTGGCCAAGCAAGTGAAGAGTGCCGAGTCAGAGCGTTCAGTGCGTTTAATTGAGAGGCTAGACATAACGCCGGTGGAGAGGATTTCCTCGCGTATGGTGTAGCGGTTGTCATTCTTGGGATCCAAGCGTACATTATTCATATTCCAGAGAATGCCAATGGGTTTTTCGCCCTTCGCTTCGCATTGCAAGACAGCGGGTTCGCCACGACGTGCAGTCTGATTGCGCAGTTTCTCGGTAAATTCTGGTGGTGCTTGAACACTGATCATTATAACAGCAGAAAGACCAGAACCGATGCCATTAATAGCCTCACAGAGATAGTAACCTTCGTTTGTCTTTTGGATATTGTCGATATGCAGTGTGCCTTCTTCAACACGAATATTATCGTTCTTCTTCAGATCCTTATATTCGCCGGGACTGTCGCCTGTGGGCAATGGAAAGTGGTGAGTGAGTAACTGATTATATCTGCTTTAATTTCCATTTACTTACCAACAGCTTTCTTCCAAGTGACCTGGGGTTTGGGGAAGCCATCAGCTTTGCATTCGACCTTAGCATCAGAACCTTGTGCGAAAGCCTTGTCGGTGGGTTCGAGTATCCATCTGGGTGGTACTATTGTGGTTTAATCAAACCAAACCGAAGTGGATGTTATGAAGAATTGAGAGGGAAAAAAATATATATTAGCTTATTTCATCGAGTTTCTTAATTGCAAAAATACATTTATAAAGCATGCGGTAGAGTTTAAAAAATGTTTTTACAACAGACGGACGGAAGACGAAGATAAAGTGAAGTGGTGATTTTTTAGCAATTGATATATTTTTATCATGAAAACTGTTTGCAATTTTTACTTCTTTTGGTTAATTTTAGACAAAAATAATGAACTTTTCAAAAAACTAATTTTTATAAATTTTTATTGCTTTTTAGAATAATGAAATGAGGATTTTTAAAGTTTTTGTTTTGAAAACTACGTACAAACATAATTTTTTAAAAATTTAAAATTGTTTATTTTTACCACTTCACTTCACTTTTTTGTACTTACGAAAATTTTGATGTTTCGATGAGTTTTTGAATTTTGTTTCTGATTTGTCTTAAATGTGGTTTAAGCACCCATTAATGTTATTTATTTTTAAATATACTAACAAGACGACTGGCCAAAACTATAGAAGCGTTTTTTACGCATTTTTTCCATAAAACAATTGTCGAACATACTTTGTATAGAAGGAAAATGCGGGGAAAATAATTGCAAAAAATCAACGCGATTTTTTAGCAACTTAGAACTTCACTTTATCGTACTAAAATTTAATGGGCTATAAAACTGCATACTCACAAAAATTCTAAAAAATCTGATTGAAAAGTTGAGAATTTAGATGCAACTTTGCAGAATTTTTATAATTTATGCACAAAGTTAAAAATATGAATTCATACGATTTTTGTTAGGTATTGAGCTGTGCTTTTATAAAAAATAATAAATATTATATAAAAAAGAATTTTGCCAAACTGGTATCTCTCCACGTCTCGACAACTTCTGCGTTTTGCATTTAAGTAACACCAAGAGTAATTACCTTAGCTAAAATTCAAGAATCAGATACTTAGAAAATTTGTTCTACGAAAATAATTTGGAATATGGTTTTAAAGGTACTAAAGTGCGATTGAAAAGAGCCCGATCTTTGAAAAACGACGTGAATGATCTGGCCCCTTAATTTTAGCCCTCATATATGTATTTTATAATCGAATGATGGAAGTTTTCTGGAGTTATGTGCTTAATAGAAATGATTGGATACAGGCCTCGCGTCAGTTGATAAAAATTTGAAATTTCAAACTTTAACAACATAATAAAACGCGGTACTTAGTTTTTCAGCTGGCCTATTTTAGCCGCTTAGTGACGATTTTTTAATGTATTTTGAATAGATTTTTATATGCAATATTTATTCCGTTATTTAAACATTTGATATTTTTATTTAAAATTGTTTCATGTATCATAATCGTTTTTAAGCACTCACGAACATCAAAATTTTCCGCAAATACTGACGCTTAAAAGCTATGCAAATTAAGTTATTTTACAACTAAATACAACCCAAGAAAGCAACAAGCTACATTTATACAAACAGAAAGTGAAAAGGACAACAAAATGTTGGCGGATTAATTGAAAATAAATGTTAATCAAAAATAAAGTTTCAAAAACTGTACAGAGCATGCGTAAAACGATGTGCTAAGTGATGCTGAGAAGCTGGCAGATAATATTTTATGAGAAATTGAAAGATTGGCTTTTTTTATTTTTTACTTAATTTGTGCTTTTAAACTGCTAAATAAAATTTAATTTTCTATTTTTTTATTTATATTTATTTAAAGCCTCACAGCATCAATTAACAGCAGGATAAATATTTAATTTACCCCCAATCGTTTTGTATACGAAACTGATGAGTTTTCAATGAAAATGAAAGTTAATTAAAGACAGGATATTTCTCTAGGGTGCGGATGGCCAGTGAGATGGAGTTGGCGTGAGGGTGGAGGACTGCAAGAGTGGAAGCGACCGAGTTAGTGATCAGAATGGATGATGAGCGCGTAACAGGAGAAAAGCTGTGTGATGGGTGTGTAGAATACATTATGGCACACAGCTGTTAATTGAATATTGTAATGCTGTTGATCGGCTGCTGTAGTATGTATGTACATTCTGTTAAGTTACATATTCAACGAAAACATACGAGTATAGTACATACTGTGTGTGTGCGGGCAAGTGAAGCAAAGCTGATATTGACAACACCACATACCAGAGTATTTTGTGTTACATTCATGATATGCAGCCACACAAAACACTTTCCATGTAAGGGCAGTTTTACAGAGTGTAGTTGTTTCAGTAGTTTGTGATATTTTGTTACGATGTTAGCAGCATTTACATATGTATGTAAATATTATGTACGCATGTTAGTTTACGGAGTTAAATAGATTTATGTTAATTTTGCGCCAGAGAAATTCCATATACCTATTAATAGCATTTTTTAGACCGAAATAGTCTGTTAGTTCTTCTTCTTCTCTGTTAATTAACATACATTTATTTAACATGTAGCAGACAGCAGTGTGTTATGTAAAAGCATGTTATCGCATACATATTTATCTTTGTTAGTAAGCGAGGATCGAAGAGGGGTTTCGAAAGTAGGAAAGACGTGTGTTTAGATTTTTTCTGATTAAAAAAAAAATATAAATTTGTTTGCTGCACACATTTACAAAATTCGCTACTTTATTTATGCATATTGGCAAGTTTTCGTAATATTTACTATTTGTATGCGCAAAATGCTATTTTAAGCTCAACAAAATAAAATTAAAAACGAAAGAAAATCCAAATTTAGCACTAAAATGCATTGATATAGAAAGTACAAAACAGTTAAAAAAAAAAATTAAATAAAATAAAAAATTTTTTAGTCAAAGAATTAAAACAAAATGAGTTTGAAAAAATTTAATAAAATTAAAAATAAGAACGCTGAAGCAATTTGTAGTATTTTTTCCATAGCAAGTGATTGCCCAGTGTAATGCGCAGATTTTTAGTTAAACATAAAATTTCATTCATTCTTTCTCACAAATTTGGTATTGGTGTAGCTTTTTTTTTTAATAAAGAAGTGCTTTTGAGTGCCCTTTATATGCGCGTGTGCATATGTGCTGAGTTATGTGTATGTGTGAAGTGTTTGTGCTGCAAGTGATATTATTTGCTGTTTTGCGAATCTGAGCTGTTTTGCCATTTTTTTTTTTTTACACATGAGTTGTTGACTGTGAATTAAGTATTAACAATTTTTTTTACAATAGCTGTAAGCCCAATACATTTTTCCACAACATTCATGTTTCAACAAAAAAATTTAAATTTTTTGTGTAGTTGCGATTAGTTTATGCAAATTTATACAAACTGTCACCTGCGCTGACGCTGTCAAGTGCTCTTTTTCGAAATTATTTACAGAATCCAAAACTTTTAAGCTTTTAGACACTTTTTGATCAGAGCAAAAATCATACTTGTTGTTGCAGTTAAAGATGACGTTCCATAGATTTCTTGAAACCTCTGATTTTCAGAGTTTCTTTCATTAAACTTGGTTAAAAAAAAAAAAAATAAAAAAAATAAAAAAAAAAAAATCGAAAAAATCGGCCGTTTTATTGCGATGTTAATTTCTTCGATGAAATAATGTTCTCCATGATTTTTGTTTTTAAATGCAAAAGTTACAAAAAATTGTAAAATTTTAAAAATCGAATAATAAAAAAAACTGTTATAAATCTTGATTAAAAAAAATTGTCTTCATGAAAATGGGTTTGAAAAATTTTCAAGATATGTAAAACATTTTTGTTTGAAAAACAATTGTGCAAGTTTTTTTTTTCAAAAGCCAAGCCCAACGCATTTCTGCGCTTCTTCCCCTTTTTCAAAGTCCAGCAATAATAATGCACTAGTTTTTAGGTATAAAAACTTCAGTACACAATTTTTGAAAATTTCTAAAAACAAAAAATCATTTTCAAAATAGTCTTGAACCCTAATTTGTTCTTGCGGTTCATCGCAGGCAAAAAAAAAAGCGTAAAAGTGCAGTTTAAAAAAAAATTTTTTTGAACGCATTTCAAATTTAATTTTCATGCCATTAAGAATTGATTAGAAATTATTCGAGTAATTTCGTATTGAAATTTGGAAATATCTTCTATTTTAAGCTTATATGCAAAGCAAGAAAGTTTTAAAACTTTAGAAAAAAATTAAAAACTTTTCTTTTTATCAAGCAAAATTTTTAATTTTTGTTTAACAAAATAAAAGATTTACAAGCTTATAAATTTTTGAAAAATGCTTTTTACAAATTAAGAATTTGAATCTTTGAATAAAAATTTCATTGTGATTTTTTAAAATTCAAGAAGAAAATTAATTAGTTTTTTAAGTAATATTTTTTAGTGAAGGAGCTATAAACTTGAAATTTCAGTCGCTTTCTTTCTTGCCTACCGTTCACCGTTAGCGTTGCTGTCTTATTCGCGCTGCCCGCCGCATTGGAGACCTCACACGTATAGCGACCCGCATGCGCCGAAGTGACATTATTGATTAACAAAAGGCTTGTATGCTCGCCAACACTAGCCAAAGTGGCTAAATCATTGTTTATACGCTGTTCGTTCAAGTACCAATTGAACAAAATTGGCAGATCGCCTTTGCTGGCAATGCAAGTGAGCTGAACATAATCACCCATATGACATGGTGTGGCCGAGATGGAGAGTTTGGCCAGATAAGGCGTTTCTTAGTGGCGAATAAAAAAAGATTGTGCGATTTAAAAGGTGGAAAAATGTGTGTACATAAGTATAAAGTACGTATTTAAAATTTCTAAAAGAAAATTATTTTAAAATAAATGAAATTTTAGAGGATTTTGTTAAAAAAGGTTTTTTCGCACCAAAATGCCATATCAATCATTACCATTTTTTGAATTTGAGGAATTTGAAACTATTAAAATTTTTAAATTGCTTAGGCTAAAATAAGATTTTTTTGAAATTTCCAATCTTGTGTTTTCGTCTATTTTGCATAAATAATAGTAAATTTTTACTTCAATTTCTCGGAAATTCACCAACCACCCCATAACAGCGCTCCAACCAACATCATCAACATAAATCAAGTTCGC